GTGTGTGTGTGTGTGTGTGTGTGTGTGTGTGTGTGTGTGTGTGTGTGTTCAGTCTGTCTAATAGACTGACCCCCCAGCGCGCCGTTTAAAGGGAAGACAAGAGAGCTGAGTCAACAAATCGCAGCGAGCAGGATGCAACAGTTGATGTGCGCGAGCTGCGCACTTTWCTCGTCTTTAGGGACCGTGCGCACGCGGGGAGGATGGTGGTTCTGAACCAGTCCGACTTTCTGCTGCTTCTTTGAGTCCATCTGGGAGATTTAAACCTAAAAYCAAAGCAGAGGCTGGCTGAGAGTCTTACAAAACTCGTGCGTCTCCCGCACCTCTCCAAAAAGAATAAAAMCCCTAAAATGGACATTTGGACCGAAACGCGTCTGCGAGGACTTCATGCTCGGCGGGAATGGAGCTGCTGAGTGGACCTGGGACGGCTGCGAGGCGGTGAGAGGGTAGTAGCTGTGCGGGGAGGGAGTGCGCCCAAACATGCAGCGGGTTCTGCAGAGGAGGAGAGTGCGCAAACTGCGGGTCGTCTGGGCCGCTCTGTCTCTGGCCGCGTGCAGCGCGCTCTTCACGGCGTGGACCTGGAGACAGACGCGGGACCTGTCCCAGTCCTTCCAGGTCCTGCAGGACAGACTCGAGCAGGTTGGTGTTCCGCTTTGGGGGAGAGAGAGAGAGAAAAAAAGGCACGCATGTTTGGAGCTGCGGTGAGATTTAYTGGTCTGCAGAGATTCAAGAGTTATGTAACCTTTGTTTTTTGCGGTTACGGGAATCTTTGCGGCTGTGTGCGCGCGTGTGCACGTACTCTGTTGTTTTTGGTACAGTTATCAGCCTTCACTGCTCTCCAGTAGATCCAGTAAAAGTTGTGTCTGCTCATTTTTTGTGTCCACCCCCCCGCCATGTTTAACTACTCTGGTGCCAATTTGAGCTCAATTCACTGGAAAATCTTAAATATTTGGCTCCTAAATCATTTGGATCTCCATCCACTGGTTAGAATCACCATAAAGGGATAGTTCTGGTATTTTGAAAGGTTTTGTGTAACTATTATGAACAATAAATATCTTACCTGTTGCAGATAGCTCTTAAAAATGACATAGGCTGTGTTCACACTGCCAGTAAAAGTGACCTAAATCTAATTATTTCTGTTTGMATGTGACAAGTCTGATTTTTCAGATTAGACTCAAGTCACTTTTATATGTTGGTACTAAAACAGACACACATCCCATGTGATATGTAAAACCTGTTAAATTCATGACTGTTCTGTAAAAGGTAACCTAGCTTAGCCATGAATTTTGCCTCTATTTAGATTTGTTAGTTAGCTTAACTGATTCTTTGTCTAAGCTGTATAGCAGTTTCCCGTTAATCGGTTATTTCAGTAAAAATAATGTTTTTCCTTCTGGAAGTCTTCCAGAGTGTACTGGAAGCGCTACATTAGTTATCCTCACAAAAATTCTACGTGAATGGCCGTGTAATTAGAAACTGACAGCTGTTAAGGTTTATAAAATAGTGTTCACAAGCTTTACATTTTATAGATTTAAGCTGGAATAGAATTCCCCTTCTGCTCAGACTTGCTTATTAGCTTGAAAAGTTACACTGCATTTCAAAAGTTATCTACAACAGGTAAGATATTCAAGATTCATGACTTTTCAATGAACCCCACTTTAAAAACACTCAATTCAAGCTTGGTTAAACTTGMAGAAGATTGTCCAAAATGCAACACAAGCCCATAAAAACTATATATAAATATATATATACTGTTTGCTCTCACACCAAATGCTACATTCGATTGCATCAAAACTGCAATTGTTTTCTACATTGGAGAAAAAAAAAAAGGAACTGATGGAAATTCTTCAGGTTTTCTGAGTTTGTAGACTTTATAAGCCCAGGCTGCTCTGGATTTCAGATCAAGCTGGCTGTGTGCGTGTGTGTTGACAAACCTGAACACACACACACACACACACTCACAAATTGGACACGTGGAGTGTTGATGCTGGAGCCGTTCCCAAGGGGCCCCCGTTCTGGCCATTTGAGCGTTTGCCAACTCTTGATGAGAGCCAGCGAGCGAGCGTCTGGTGGAGTGAAGTGTAACTCTCTTCTGCCTCCATTTCCACAGTAGCTGTAAATTTAACCACTCTCCTCCTCCAGCTCCCCCCTGAGCAACTTCTCCTCACGCTCACTGAAGGCCTCCTTCAGTGCCCCCCACCCCTGCTCCTCCGCCAAGGACTTCAAACTCTGCTGGCTTGGCAAAAATCATTTCTTACAGACTTGTGAGGAATGTGAAGGATTGAAAACATGCATTAGGTGTCGCAAACCGCTCCGAAGGAAGTGGTCGCTGCAAAGCAAGCGTGGCAGCAGGGTCAGGAGAGCCTTCATGTGGTGGAGCTGAGATGAAATGTGAAGAACCTCAGGACGGCTTCTCATTAGTATAATACTGAGTAGCTTCGCCTGTCTCCTGTCTCCGTRTAATTTATGGACARTCCGTACAACGTGACATGTATGACAACAACTAGAACTCATGAATATGTGGCCTGTGCGGAATAAATCCCACATAGCAAATTTTGTCTGGTCCAGTCCTGGCCCACACACCTTATTGCATTGTAAGTCCCGGCCTTGTCTGCATTCAAATCCAACTTTTGCATATTTGCATTAGCTGTTACGGCATAATTCCTCATTTCAGGAAACCAGAGACCTGTGGTTTTATTTGGGCCGGGCTGCTCAGTCCGATTTGACGTCAGCTACTGCTGCCCRTTGATTGGTTCGCTGACCAGAGAGGAGTCACGTCACAGATTAGACCARCTTTACTTGAATTGTTTGAACGATTGTAACACTTTTTTCACAAGAGTTCAACTAAACAACTGTAACGAGCTACCAAACAACAAGCTAACATTAGCTACCATTAGCTTACCATCCTTGGCCCTCTAGTACTCAKCATCATGGATGGTCCGATACTGTCTTCAGTATCATTCTTTCGAGCTCCATGTCGTCCATTGTTGTGTTGAAAATAGAACGAAATAAGATCCAAGCATTTTTAATTGGATGATTCCCGCCTACATTGAGCAAACACAACCAGGGCTGGAGTCGAATAAGGCCAGTCMGGGCCGGGCATTACACTGCAAAGATGTCTTAATGTTCCACCCAGATACCGCAAAGAATGAAGGCTGTTGGTGGCCCAAATGTAGTTTACCAGAGGTGATCCATGCATGGGCCAGCACCACATAAACCAAACCACAACTGGGCCAGTTGTAGCATGTCATCAGTGACCAGACCTGGCCAACAACAGGATGACAAACTACTTGCCATGCCAGCAGTGCCATCCTGACACCAGATCTGGCCCACACCTGTCTGCTCCCTGGGATGAGGAAGATTTCAATACTGAGTTTTTTTTTTGTTGTTGTTTTCAAATTCTTCATGTCAAAAACTTCAAAATGATATAGAGTTGTTGAAATGTAGTGATTCGTCACATGGTGATAAGCTAGTTTTGTTTATGAGTGTCGAGTTGAAGACTTTATTTTTATTGGTTTAGAGCAGAGGTCTTCAACAATGGGGGTTGCTACCCCTAGGGTCCGTGGAGGTACTGAGGTACTTCTTTAATTTCAGAGGCACATCTTTAATGGTTTTGCATTTTATGCAGAACATCAGGACAGTTTGTTCGTGGCGATGACAATATTAGGCCATCACACACTTTTGTATTTAAACTTATGTCAAAATCAAATCAATGAAATAATTCTGTGTATTATTTGCATAACTTAGCATAAAAGGCATTGTAATACAGCATGTTTTATGTTGTACTCAGCTGAGGTTATTATAAAACAATATAATACATATAAATTTATACAAGCATAGTAGGGGGGTCCTTGCTTCGTTTCTCTATTAGTTTGGGGGTCCCAGACTGAATACATTGAAGACCCCTGGTCTAGAATGATGTCATCAGGAACTCCAGCCATATATTTAAAAAAAGGAAAATACAGGTTTCATTTAGTTGCCAGACATTTTACGAAGCGATTTCCAAGCAAAGAAAAAAAAAAAACTCAACTTAAAAGGAAATTATTAAAAGCTTTACCTCAGAAGACAGACCTGTTAGAACATTGTTTTAAAGATAGACCAGGAGGATTATATGGTATTTTAGTGACCAGGGGTCATTAAATTGTGTCTTTATGGACATAGTTTTACACAAATCTGTATTTTCTATTTATTTTGCACTTGTTCTGAGTAATGTTCCCATCACAAGTCCCATTTTTGCAGTCAACCCACAACCAACAGYCCTAAAATAACCCCAACATGGTTCTAACTCAGCTTTACAGATATTGAGTGAAAATTTGGAATGGTAGCAGCTGAGTCATCCCCACATTCACTCCAAGCGATAAATCTCGCAAAGATCTTAAGAATACAGCCGTCATTTACATGATAATTACTGTGTTTTTGTGTCTCTTCTTCAGGTCAACACTCAGAGGAAGGCCATCGTTCAGCTCATCCTGGAGAAGCGGGAGCTGCTGCTGGAGCGAGTGAAGAGAGACGGTATGTCAAACCTGCCAGAGCTGATTTGTCTCGGCTTCAGCACCACTAACTCTAAGCTTTGCAGTTCAGCTCACCACAGACACAACACCAGCCGAGGGAGGAGGGAGGGAGGGAGGGAGGAAAACATTTAACACAAACTTGCCGGCCCGCCTCGACCCACATGCCACTTTGGTCAGATCTCGCGGGCCGCATCGGCTACCCGCTGCTAAAAGTTGACACAGGAAAACGTAGGCAGCTGGATTAGCCTCCCAGAAATTACAGGTCTGACCGGGGCCGGCCTCAAAGCCCAGAAAACCCAGCTGGCGCGGGAGCCAGGTTGCGCTGCACGCTTTTGGGCAGTAAAACCCATTTTTTCTCTCTGCCCAGAGCACACGACCGACACAGCTCTGATTTTGTTGTGAAAGCGGTGATATTCGATGAGCCATCATCAGCGTATTTATAGCATCTGCTTGCATCACCATCATGGGACTGCTCACTTCTTCCCATTTGTTGCAGAGTGAACCTTCGTTTAGTTTCACATTGTTTTTTTGTTTTGTCCCAATGTGACAAAGCACATTAATTTAAAGGGATGTTTCAGATATTTAGTAGTGGAGTTATGTGAAAATGTTATGAATGCTTAATATCTCACTTTCAGATTGTAATAACTGCATGTATTTTTACAGTTACTTAACTTTTGGCGTCGTCCCAATTCAAGGTGGCCACCACGACTAATTGACCTTACATCAATCTATTATCTTGTTCTTATTCTGTAGTCAGGTCGGAGGAGCAGCAGTTTGATCAGGGAGACCTGTTTCCCCAGCCAGCTCTGGGAGGATTCCAAGGTGTTCCCAAGACATGCATTAGACATAGTCTCTCCATTGTGTCCTTTGTCTTCTCCGGGATCTCCTCCCAGTTGGACATGCCTGAAAAACCTCCCATCCAGGGAGCGTCCATACCAGGTGTCTGAACCACCTCAACTGGTTCCTCTGGATATAGAGGAGCAGCAGCTCTACTCCAAGTCTCTCCCAGATAATGAAACTTCACAACCTTTCTCCAAGGGAGAGTCCAGCTGCCCTGCAAAGAAAACTCATTTTGACTACCTGTGTCCGGGATCTCCTTCTTTAGGTCACTACCCAAARTTTGTGGCAATAGGTGAGGGTAGGAATGTAGACTGACCAGTAAACGAAGAGTTATGCCTTACAGTACAGCTCTCTCTTCACCACAACAGACCAGTACAAAGTCTGCAATACTGCGGAAGTTGCAATGATCTGTCTGTAGATCTCAAGCTCCATTCTTCCCTCACTCGTAATCAAAACCCCAAGATACTTGAACTCCTCCACTGGAGGCAGAACTTCAACCACAACCTGGAGAGACCAATCCAAATCCGACTGAGGACCATGGTATCACATTTGGAGTTGCTGATCCTCATCCCGCTTCACACTCGGCTGCAAACTACTCCAGTGAGAGCTGAAGATCATGGCATGATGACACCAACAGAACCACATCATCTGCAAACAGCAGAGATGGAATCCTGAGACCACTGAGTCAGTCTCCCTCTACCCCCTGGCTACACCCTAAAAAATCTGTCCGTGAAAGTTATGAACAGAATCAGAGACAATGGGCAGCCCTGGTAAAGTCCCACTYCCATCCTGAAGGGGTCTGACTTACCGTGAACCCAAAAATGGTGATTCTTAGCCAATTTTACAGATGCTGAGCTCTAACTTGGTGTGGTTCTAACTGAGAGTCATCTCTAACACATAATCTGAGCGCTAAGCGTCCAGGCAAGACATTTCTCATGAACCACTGAATAAATTTTTAACAAAGCTCTCAGTGCGTAATCTTTAGAAGGTCATGCAAGATGGTTGCCACAGCTAATCAACCTTAGAAAATACAATGGCTGTGTCCAAAACGACAGGTCGTGTCCTCCGGAGGACCCAGACTACCCGGTCGAGGTGG